ACCATTCTCGTATTTGTACTAAATATATTAGCATCCTAAGTCTGGCTGTGATTCTCAATCTTTTTAAAACTTAAAAGTATCATTAAGGCACGCTGCCCTTGCTGTGAAATTTGGCTCAGGTTACAGTTTTAGTAAAATGTGCATGCGCTTAGATTGGGTTCAGAGTGAAGAACTTCACTTTTTAAATCTGTTGGATGAGAGTATAAATTATTGATCTTTGTTAATGCTGTGAATTTGTTAGACGGCTGTAGTGTATGATAAGTTCATGTGGTGTACGAATAGTTAGCAGGCGTTACATAAAGTGTTCTTTTCTTGAATATTCGCCATACATTTTGTTTTGATGCCATAAAGGGCTAGCTCAGGGAACCCCAAACCATAGTAGAATCCGTTGTCCTAGTAAAGTTAAGATCATACTTGCTAACAAATGTTGTCTGGTGCCTGTTGAGATGCATTCGATAAAGGAATCTTCTTTCATTTAGTGCTGAATACTGTCCTCTCTGAGTTGGCAGGATGGTTTCTTTGATTATCTTCGAGAACTTGATTGCTCTGAAGTAGAAGCCTATGCTATTCCAGAGGGTTCTGTTGTTTTCCCTAAGGTACCCCTGATGAGAATTGAAGGACCAGTTGCTGTGAGTACCACTATTCTGTTTTCTATCCTTATGTTTTATTTGAACTGAATCAATGGTAATAGTTGTGTTTTGTTCTTAATTCACACAATCTGTTATTGCAGGTGGTTCAACTATTGGAGACCCCACTGTTGAATCTTGTAAATTTTGCATCATTAGTTGCAACAAATGCGGCGAGACACCGGTTTGTTGCAGGGAAATCAAAAATGCTACTCGAGTTTGGACTTCGACGTGCTCAGGTTGCTGAGCGTTTTTTCTCTTCTCCTTTATTATAAACCGTTGTAGTAAGTATCAATTTGAGAAGGAAAATTTGCTTATTCTGTAGGGACCTGATGGTGCCATAACTGCATCAAAGTACTGCTACATTGGAGGATTTGATGCAACAAGGTGAGTATTGCAGGAGAAAAAAAAAATGAATAAGTGACTTATAGTTTTTTACATGTGTATAGTACTAGGTTGTTACTTTGTTTTGTCTCTGAGAGTCTGGTCTATTTTTGCACCTGCATGACCTTAACATGTTGCCGAGAAGCTTTTGGTTTCTTTTATCTTCAACTGATGTTTAGAATGGCTTCTTGTTTGACAGCAATGTTGCTGCTGGACGGTTATTTGGTATCCCCCTTCGCGGAACACATTCCCATGCTTTTGTCAGCTCATTTATGGTTGGTAATGAAAATTTTGAAACTGTAGCGCTATGTTTCTCCAACTCTGTTTGTGTGAGTGATGGAATGTGTTCGTTGGAATAGTGAACTAAGATATAGCACCTGATTCGTGGATGACCTAAAAATCATTATTCTTGTGAAAAGAAAATTTGGGGACAAACGTGAAGGTAAATATTGAGCAAAATCATGGCTTTGTACTTGGTCAGCTGGTTAGGTGCACCCTGGCCACTCTATGGGCGGTTTTATGAATTTATTCATGACGTTTTGGGTGGTAGTAACATAATTAGCGTTGTCACTGGCTAATCCCGTTCATTTGATATTGATAGTATTTTTCTGTTAATTAAGCTGTTTTCTTTCTTTTTCTTATCCTATTTGCAGAGTCCGGATGAAATCATAGAGAAATCACTCAAGAGCGCTGATGGCTCAACTAACTGTGAAGATTTTGTCAGTTTGGTCCAGACCTGGTTAAACAAAATAAAGGTACTAGGCATTGGCATTCTAGATTCTTTCTGTACTTGGCTTTGGGTATTCTTATATTTTAGTCCTACAGCTGACTATTGGTGCATGTGATTTTTTTTGTGTGCCTAATATGTCAGGCTGTGCAATGGTCCAAATCGTCAAATGGTGACACTAATCATAGCGAGCTAACAGCATTCACATCATACGCATTGGCCTTCCCTGACAATTTTCTGGCTCTCGTAGACACATATGATGTGAGTAAACATTTCAATTGTAACCTATTTTCATTTCCTTGAGTGGTGCTTGTTAATGCTGCTTCTTTACCAGTAATGCGTGTTTCCTATTATGACCACTTCTTGAAATTTCGTTAATGTGAGCATAAAGAGCCTACAAGCTTCCATGAGAGAACATAATTAATCAATATCCCTTACACAAACAGAATAAAGAACTGCCCTAAACGCTATCCACTCATACTTAAGCTTCTTTATCCGAATGTTAAATAAGACATGAATTGATATATCAATCAATTAGCTTGCTTGATGGAATACGTGGATTTTAAGAAATCATACATCTCGTAGATGGAATCGTAAGAATGTATGTAATGTTAGCATAGAATGTTTGTTTTGATGGAATTGTAATGTTGTACCTCATACAATTGGGTGTTTTGGTGAAATCTTTGGATTCAGGATACATGATAATGTATTCTGGAAACATATGGGTGTTGATATATATGGTTCTCGTACCAAATTCAGACAAGAAAAACAATGAATTGTTAGCGACCATGATTCTTAGGATCACATAAAACAATCCTGGGTTACCAAAAGACACCTTATATGTTTTATTTTACTGCTGTTGTCCTATTTTTGACATTTCCTAACAAGACATGTGCGCCAACATCAACAGGTTATGAGGAGTGGGATCCCTAATTTTTGTGCAGTGGCTTTGGCACTGAATGATCTGGGGTATGTATAAAAAATATGCAATTCGATTGTTGTAGCAATTATTATATGTATCTGTTTATTTGAACTGTAACTTTTATTTGAAGGCGTTGAAACATTATGGGATGAAAAATAAATTGAATTTCTTGATGTTGTAAAGCACAATTTGTAATATATATTCCACTTGAAATTAAGAAGTTGATGAAGACTGATGAAAAACTTTGCTCGAAACAACTAAAATTCTGATTTTCCGAACATTGTTTTTAAGAGAGTAAAATATATATACTCCTGAAACGTGATTGTGGGGTGTTGAACATTATCTTAAGCTGCTAATGTCTCTAGTTTCATTTCTTACAAAACTAATATATATTCAACTGTATTCTGCACATTAACCTTTGGGTTTTCTCTGTCATGTTAGTGTTTGTGCACAAATATCCTCTTTGGATTTTTTGCTACTATGTATACTTGCATAATAGTGCGACTGTATTTGGGAATTTTGCAGATATAAAGCTGGTGGCATCAGACTAGACTCTGGTGATTTGGCGTATTTGTCTTCTGAGGCTAGAAAGTTTTTCCAGTCCATTGAGAAGGAATTCTGTATTCCTGGTTTTGGGAAAACTAATATCACTGCTAGTAATGATCTCAATGAAGAAACTTTAGATGCTTTGAACAAACAGGTATGATGTTCGAGTTCCACATTGAATAACTCAGGTCAGTTTAAAATAATTGTGAGAATTTTCAGTCTGACCAGGAGTGACAATGTCAGGGGCATGAAGTAGATTCATATGGAATTGGAACCTATCTGGTCACATGCTATTCTCAAGCTGCTTTGGGTTGCGTCTTCAAGCTTGTTGAGATAAATGGCGAACCTCGTATCAAACTTTCGGAAGATGTCTCAAAGGTGTGTGATCTCCTGCCTATCCCTAAATCTTTTGAGTAACATCTTCTGTTTGTGAGCTTATTTCTGGCTTCTGTTATTGCTGCGGGTAGGTTTCTATACCATGCAAGAAACGGAGCTATAGATTATATGGTAAAGAAGGATATCCACTGGTAGACATAATGACAGGAGAAAATGAACCTATTCCCAAGGTAATCCACTCCACTAAGCAGTTCCCGAGCTTTTCTCAAATCTATTATGGTGATTCTGGTCAAAGGGGGACCAAGCTGATAGCGGTTAGTTAGTGACTTTGTTGTTTTACCAGGTGGGAGAAAGGATACTGTGCCGTCATCCTTTCAATGAATCAAAGAGGGCCTTTGTTGTTCCACAGAAGGTCGATGACCTCTTGAAGTGTTATTGGCCTGGGACTTCAGGTAACTTCTTAGCTGTCTTGAAATGGTAGAGGCAGGGCCAGTCATCAGAGTACGGTCCGGACCAAGTTTTTCAATCCATTGTTTTCAGGCTGTGAATGTTACTAAACTGGATATTGTTTGCTTCATGGAAGGTAAACCAAGGGTAGAGCTGCCATCTCTGAATGAGACTAGAGAACGATGCATCAACCAGCTGGAGCAAATGCGGCCAGACCACATGAGACGGTTGAACCCGACACCATACAAGGTAAAATCCCTTTCTCCTGGAAAATGTGCGGACCTTCATCGATATTCATCCACTTCCTGTGGTATAATCAATCACTAAGGATCTGGGTCGAAACTTCTGAGCAGGTGAGCGTAAGCGCCAAGCTGTACGATTTCATCCACTTCCTATGGCTAAACGAGGCGCCTGTTGGAGAGCTGCAGTGAGCAGAGAGGGAAAAGATGGGCTACTGGGGTGTGTACAAAATGGGTACATACGACTTGGTAGAGTCTGGAGTTTTGGCAGCGTCCACAGATTCATATATTTACCATATAACCGAGGGATAGATGTACATTGCTACGAATTGTCTTTTCGTACCATGCCTTCGTTTTGATTGTTCGTTTCTTTGGGATCGGCTGTTTTAACTTGGTTTTTTCTAGTTTACAACTATAATCCCTTGTTTACTTAGTGTCGAAGGAATAAAATGTGTACAATAAGCTCCGATTTGCCCAATTGGACCAACAGTTCCATCCTCGACGATATGGTTTTTTCAGCATGTGCTCACGTCATTGGATTGTTGGGGTGAAATATCGATCTAGACATTTCTGACGACGACATTGCCGTAATTTTCTCCAGCCACGGATTGGACAACCAAAGTTACGAGAGAAACCAAAGGAGAAAGAATGGAATTTCTACTAGGCTACAGACTTTCGGCCACTTTGATCTTGAGCAAGGCCAAGCATTGAAACCACCTGTAGTAACAATCAACAGTACATAATTTACAGACGATAATTACAACAAGAGACCAATAAAAGGAATTGATATATTGATTTTTCCAAACACAGAAAGCAGAAGCAAGCTTCAGCCAATGAAACGGAGGTTATTAAGCTGCACCCAACCATATGCACACCTATTCCTCATCTTATCAGCTGTTGATACTGCAGCCTCCACTGCTCCTCGAGTCTTGCTTGGTTCTCCTCTCCATTCCCATTATCTTGCTCACCTCACTCTGTTGCACAAGTTCACCACCAACACACCCAAACCCCGCCCTTCAGCCAAATTGTTCAAAGGACAGTTTCATCATCTGTGTCGGGTACGACCTGGAGTGCATCAACAACACCAACCTATTCTACAGAGCCACTAATTTAATTCACAGATGGATAATTTCGTTCCAATGGCATCTAGGGGATCACCATCTTCTGCTTCTTAACAAGACGCAGCCTGGGGTGTGATATTGCTGATCTCTTGCCTTCCCTCTGATGCCCGGATTGTTCAACTCCATCCACTTGTTGGCATTCTTCTATAGACCCAGCATTTAAGACAGTCACAACACAAAGGGAGATGAGAGGTGAAGACTACAAAGTTCGATTACAAGCAATAGGTGTGTTCTCGAGCAGACTATACAAGATACAAAGACTTGTATGCTATGTGCTACTTAAATACGTTTGTCAACTGAGGTATCTAGTCAATAAGCAGGCACAAAACTGCTGCCTTATCCTGTTGTGAAGGGACTAGACTTAATCATGTGCTCGCAGGATGTTCTCTAGAGGGGAAGCTTTTGTTCCGACTTTCTTGTCCTGCTTCGTGAATTCCTAAACCTCAAAGAGACAGAAACACCAGAAAGAAAACACAAACAAAAAAGGGGACAGAAGGTAATTCCTCAAAAGGAGAAGAGGTTACCAATTATTAAGGGAGTTCACATTGATGTGCTGCTGTCTGACTGAACCCCAGAACTATGGCTTCCATCATCTGAACCTCGAAATTTCTTGTACCTTGGAATTGGGGTAGGCCAGCCAGAGACCTTAGGCTGGAACACCATCCAATCGCGTAGATGCGGGTTGAGTTGATCTACAAACTCCAACTCCCCCCCACTTCTCAAATCACAGGTGAAGATACTCTCGACGTGAGAATCCCAATATCGTAAGAAGACAATTTCCGGCTTTTCTGGATGCAAAGCACATATCCTGAGCATTTTAAGTGGATAGTAGTCCCCCATGCTTGATGATATCTTCACCAACCCTTCACATTGTTTCCTCCAGGACCTGCGATCTTCTTCCAATCTCCAAACGACCGCAGAACGGACACGAGCAGCAGGTGTTTCAGGAGGTTTAAGTTCAGCAACATGCAAAGCACCTTGTGAGACCATAACTTCCCACGTTTCTGCTAACATTGCAGAAACATCTGTATAAGTCCTGGGAGGTCTGTCAAGGAAGAAAGGATTAAGGGCACCAAGCACACGAGTCCGGTCCCGGGGATAATATGCATAAAACAACTCCCCGTTGCACAAAGATGAATGTTGAACCATAAAAACAACGCCTTGAACAACAAAAGCATCCTTAGTCCATTCTCCGGACTCTGAACAGAACACATCTACTCTCATAGATGCCCCAAACACCCATATAGACACCACCCGGAATCGAAATTCAGTAGAATAAACAAATGTCTTGCCGTCTCCCAGATCTAGATTGAAATTACTACGGGGTTCGCAGACTAACCTTGAAGCAATTATACCGCTACCCGTATTAGCTTGTTTCTTTCCAGGCGCTAAAGGAATGGCAATCCATTGCTTTGTAAAAGGATTGCAGACCATGTAGGATCTGCCAAGCCAGCAATCACTGCCACTGGTATCTGAATCCTTAAACCCGCACAATACCAAGTCCTTGAAGGAATCCAAAATTCCAAAATTTTCAGGGACTTCATCGGGAGGCACGGGGAAAAAGCTCCGGATGACCGATTTTGGGTCGTGCGAGGGAAGAAACAGAAGCGCTTCGTTCCTGCATTGATGGTGTGAAACGAAACGGCGATTGAAGCAGGGGTCGGAGATCAGAGAGCTCCACCGCTTGCAGACGCGTTTACTCCGACAAGAGTGCCTTGGGTTCGGGAGGCGAATCAGAATTTCTACGAGGAGATCGTCTTCGAGGTCAGTGATCATGGTGGTCGGAGGAGGGTTTACCTCGATATGATGCCGTTTTCTGGAGGTGGAGCTCCAACCCGAGGTGCGGTTCCCAGTCGCCATGGCGGGAGACAGAAAGTGATGGAGGACGCCGGCGGAGGAGAATATAATGCGCGCGCAGTAGCTGGGGAATATAGCAGAACCGCGAATCGTTTACTTCTTTACTTTACACATACGGCCGCCGCTAACTTGATCAATCACCGTGACACTAACCCTAAACAGTCAGCTCTAGGACTAGAAGTGGCAACCATCCGGTTCACACCAGATTGAATCGTATCGGAATGAATCAGTTTGGATCGTATATATTTCAATTCGATATTGGTTTTATGAATTATATCAAGTTTGAAGAAAAAACATACCGAAATTTAATTTGAACCAGATCAAATCGAACCAAATGAATCAAACATGCTTTTTGTCCGATTTTGGTCCTCACTTTTCATTTGTTTTTGGTCCGTTTCTATCTCAATTAGGTCCGGTTCGAGAGTGACTAAATGTGACATGTTTCAGTAATTTGAGTGACCAAAATTGATATTATTTTTTTCTAGTGACTAAACACAACACGATTTAATAATTTCAATGACCTATTTGGTTATCTATTGTGGCAAGTGAAAAATAGCATAGTAAATATGTTATATAAAAACATTAGTAAAATATAATTCATAGGACATAATTGTAAAATCAATTAGAAAAATCACAAAAATGTCAGAGAGGAGCTCAACAGCCAACAATAAACCTATGGATATGAGAAGATGATTTACATATTTATAGCTCGACAATTATTAATTAGAGAATTTATAAAATGTAGACGGGAAAACTTGGCATATGGTGTCGAGGCTACTTTTGGGGCCAAGATCAGGTGACTAAGGGGGGGTCCCCTTAGTCACATGGCTAAGTGAATCTCAGCCACTCAACCTCGTTAAAATTCAAGGGCTCCTATTAGTCCAATTTAATGAAAGGTAATGTAGTAATTCCATGTTTATTTTTAACTTTTAATTATAAAAGATATAAAAAAAATCTGCTTCGTCCGTCGCCTCCGATGAATTTCCATAGAAAGAATGGGTATCCCATTCCCCCTGTCGCCATTATTCCACTCAGAGAGTTCCCCTGGTGCCATTATTAGATAGATAGAGAGAGATTTTGTACGGTTAGTATGCTTTGTACTGTTTTTCGGTTTATTTTGTAATGTTTGTACGCTTTGTTATTTTGTAATGTTTGTCGTTTTTTTGTAATGTTTGTAAACTTTGTTATTTTTGTGTACCTTGTTTATCATTTTTGTCAACCATGTTTGTAATGTTTTTTATGTCTAAAAAACAACCTGGTTGACTTTTGGATGGACCTCATCTATATAGGGATGGAGCCTCCAAAGTCAACCCGGGTGTTTTTTCCAGTTCGTATGGATTGTCGGTCTAGTTTGTCATCTTTGTCCACCATGTTCGTAATGTTTGTATGTCTAAAAAACAACCGGGTTGACTTTGAGACGGAGCCCTCTATATAGGGATGAAGCCTCCAAAGTCAACCCTGGTGTTTTTCCAGTTTGTATGAATTTTTGGTCTAGTTTGTCATTTTTGTTCACCATGTTTGTATGTCTAAAAAACACCCGGGTTGACTTTGGGAAGAAACCCCTCTATATAGGGATGGAGCCTCCAAAGTCAACCCGGTTGTTTTTTCTTTTTATATGGTTTGTATTGTTTGTCGGTATAGTTTGTATTGTTTGTACAGTTCATACGTTTGTAATGTTTGTAAATCTGTTTGTATGTTTTGTCGCACTAGTTTGTATTGTTCCTATGTTTGTATGCTTTGTACTGATTGTAAATCCGATTTGTATACTTCATAATTTTCCATAATACCCAAACTACCTCTGTCACTAATTAAATAGCCCTTCCCACTTTTTAACCATTGGATTGAAGTGTCCAGATCTAATGGCTAGGAGAGGCTTAGTCAAGTGACTAAGGACCCCCCTTAGTCATGGGATCCGCTCTCCTACTTTTGGGCTAGACGCACTTTTTACAACCCTGCTTAATCATGTAACAGTGCATAAGAAATTGTCTCATTGGAAAGACACTGGAAATTTTAGAAGGGATATATATGGTTTCGGCCACTTTGACCTTAAGGCCGTATAGAAACCACCAACAGTCAACAGTTACAATAATTACAACAAGATATCAAGAAAAGGAATTGATATCATGATTTTCCTAGCACAGAAAGCAGAAGCAAGAACAGGGAAGCTGTGAGGATGTGAGCAGAAAGCAGAGAAAACTTCAGCCAGTGAAAAGGAGGTTGTTAAGCTGCACCCAACCATATGCACACCTATCCCTCATTTTCTCAACTGTTGATACTGCAGCCTCCACTACTCCTCTGACCTTGTTCAGCTCTTCCTCCATTCCCATTCTCTTGGTCAATTCCATCTGCTGCACCTGTTCAACATCAACAAACCAAAACCCTACTCTAAATAACATCATTCCATCTGATTCAATAGCATTTGCATTTGCCGATCGCCTCTAGTTGATCAACTAACCAAGTTACTCTATTATGAATTTCCCATTCTACTTCTTTCTCTTCCATCAAACTCCAAGTTACTCTCAGAGTCAATTTATTCGTTTCACACCACATCGCACAGTGCCCTCATTACAGAAGCGTCAAATAGAAAGATTACCTTTTGAAGGCCGTGCTCTGTGTCGAGTATATAGCAGAAGTATGAAAGCTGTTTGTACAGATCTCCTTCAGTGTACTGATTCATAATATAACAAAACAAACAAGAAGGGCCACACTTGTCACTACCAAAGTATTTTCGAAGGTTTAGTAGTATTTCATTCCACGAACTAAATTTGGTTCCAAGTTATACTACCTTCCTCACAAGCCGCCCATTGCACCTGGGATAGTTTGGACAAACGGTTCCTCTCTCCGAGTCCCCAACCAACCGCAAGTTCACGCTCCGCGTTGTATGCTTGCAACTTTCATCATCACACTGAACCCAGCAAAAGAAATCCATCATGAACCATTGACAACAGTTGTAACTTGTAACATATCAACATTGCCAAATAGAAAAAAAAGATTTAGTGCATTACCATCATTACGCCCTTATAGTACATGGAAACAAATCTCTCCGCTTGCCTTCTAACCTGAAACCGAAAACAATAAGACAAGGTAAAACATACGTAAGTATGCACTGAACTTGATTACGGTGTACTAGGGAACAGCTAATATATGTAAGAATTTACCTGGTTGGCTATCATTGCTGGAGATAGTATACCGACATTGGCTTCTTCTGGGCACTTTGGGCATCGCATTGTATGCCAGAAATTGACCTTAGGTTCTTGTGGTGGGTGTACTTTTGTCGGTGTTTCATTGGATGCCTTGTAAAGGGAACCGAAGATTGCAGGACAATCTAAGGTATTGGAGCAGCTAGGACAGGTCAAGACCAATGGTTCGCAACTATGGTATCTGTTGCATATAGTTCACAAATAGTGGAAATAAGAATGACTACCAGGAAATATGGGTGGTTAATTGGTTTGCCCCGGTTAGCCCAACCCAAAAATCCGTTAATGAGTCGCTAATTCAAACTGTAACTGAACCCTTACTGTGACCCACATGAACTTTTTGTAAGACATTCACAGACGTGAAGGCATCAAGTATAGTATCCGTACCTCTCCTCGTCGTTCCCAGCAAACAAAAGTGAGCTGGAAGGATCACTATCTGCAGCTTCAGTAGATCTACTTTGGAACTGAAACCATTAACAGCACTAGTATCAATGAATACATATATCCATGGTTCTATAACTATCACATTAGAAATAAAGCATTTTTATTTACCCTGGATGAGTCGAGCCCCAAGCAATCAGCCAGCCTTTCTGGACTTGTACCCTGAATTGAAGCACATAAACGTGATACCACCGGGTGAATTTGCTGAGACAAATAGTATTCTATATCAATCATCCATTTGCCACTATCTTTTTTCAATTCATCCGGATGTCTAGCACGCTGAGCAATCCCTGTGGAACCTCCTCCAGAACTAGAGCCCTACAGAGTGGGGTAAGAAACAATGGATTACATATCCGCAATGTAAGAGCATCACACCAGTTATTCTTTATTTTGATGTACAACCAGAAACGCTGCAGCAACCTGCTCATTGCATATTATGTATGGAACTGTGTCATGGGCCGAGCAACCAGATGTATGACCACTTTGCTTCAGTCTGAGTGCAACCTGAAAATTGCACCAGAGACTGTCAAATATTAACTCACACCAGTATTAAGAACACAATTCCATTTTACCATCATACTTACCATAACATGGGGCTGGTTTTTAGCATCGGTGTATGCTTCAGGAGGTTTAGTCAATGTCTTAGTGATGACATATTTCTCGAGTGCTACCTGTCCACTTCTCATATCATCTTGCACCTGTTAAATACAGGCAACATGAGTAAGACCTCTTTAAGTGGCAAACCAACATTTAAAAAAATTGATGTTTAGGAGAGATAATAATGCAGCAATCGATGACTGCTAGAGAAGTGAATATTATATGTATACAGTTCTTTTTTTTTTGGGTAGAAATATGTATATTGAAGGACCTAAAGTGAGTTCACTCGGCCCATTTTATAAAGTTCTCCATTTTCAGAATGAAGGAAATACAATACCATACCTTCGTAAGAGCATTATGTATAGACTCCACCACATCTTCACATGACCTGGATGAATATACACCCCAAGATGACATGTCGTGTCAGCCTCAGATGGTATCACCTTAATTACAGACGCTTAAATTGTAAAAATGAGAAAGGATGAAAGCACACCCCCCAGATAAGATCTGTGTGAGACAGAAATCTCCCAGTTCCTTGGCTAGCAAGCTCCAGTCACGACGAACCATGTCAATACCTTTACGTTCAATAACCTGCACTAACAAGGGTTTTTATCATGCACTGAATTTCTGAACAAGGCATCAGTACTTGAGACTCTTAGCAAGTGTACCTCATATGGTTTCCCATCTTTGAACTGAATCTTCACAGCTGCATACTTTTTCTTTTTTAGTAGCAGCATTCTCTTGTACACACCATCAAGATCTATTTCTAGACACCTGTACTTCTTGTTCACCTGAGGAGAGGTGAAGAAAGTTCAAAATCTTCAACCATTTAGTACTAGACTAGTGCTTAAAACCAGAAGCTTTCTCATTTGAGCATATTAAACATTCGAACTTAAAAGCCATCTATTTCAGCAGTCTGTATGTATTTCAGACCATCAACAATTATCAGCTGAAAAGCTAATTCAGGCATCAAATT